ACACATACACACACACACACACACACACACACATATACCTATATACATACCAATTTTATTTTATAACATTTTTTTTTTTTTTTTTTTTTAACTTTCCCACCAGCAGGGGGACTGTGACATTTCAGACAGTCCCTCTGCTGGCAGACCCACAGCCAGCTATAGGGGGCCATGTGATCGCTCTTTGAGAGCGAGTACATGGCCCCCGGGGGCCTCATTTGCCATGGGAGGGCTGCCTGGGCTGTCAGGCAGTCCCCTCGAATAGGATCGCGGCGGAGGTGAGTACCGCGGACCTCAAGGGGCTCAAAGCCGTTACGGCGTTCTATGCCGCCGCAACGGCTTTAAAGCCCACTTAATGCGGGACGGTATAAAACGGCGTTAACGGGTTAAGCAGCCTGTGAGATGACAAAAATAAATTACTGCAGTGCCACGACCACATTTTATTTAACATTGGCAATATATTTTTAAAAATACTGGAATAAGCTAAAAAACAAAAATAACATTTTTAAAATAAGTTTAAAAATAATGTCCAACTGTGAAAATGGTGAGTATGGTGACACAGGCTGTCACTTCATTAAATAGCATTTGGGAAGTAAGTAGAGTGAAATGTCAAAATTGATACTTGTCTGTTATGTGATCCTACAAGTCCCACAAACACCTGGCAAATGTATATATCTGGGGAATTGTACTTGAGGGTAGTGGCATCATATAAATATGGCATATTCAGCACAGTGGGACAGATGTGGCCTAAAAATTCACCAAAGAAATGGACATAAATATCTATTTTTTTTCCTTTTTAATCCCAATTACAAAAGGAAAATTCCAAGTACCATAACGATACAACGCACTGTAGTGGCTATGATGCTAAGAGCCCACATTTAAAAGTAGTCAAACCATTTCAGAACAGTTTGACTTCTTACCTAATATTCACTGAGAACCTTGCACTCTCAGGCACTGAGCTTGCCCTGCACTGCAGGGCTAAGCACATAACTACTAATGGAAGCTCCTAACTGGAGATTCCAGCTCTCACTGCCTGCAGGAAAGTGGGAAGCGGTACCCAGCGGACCTGTGAGGGCCTCTCTACCGCCCGGCCCCCACGGTGGGTCTAAAGCAGAGATTATATACTTTCCTTAGCCATACCATTTAATACCAGCAATGGGCTGCTGTAATAGGCAGAAATAAGTCAGCAAACCCTTAGCCAACCACAGCTACTCAGGCTAATGCTACTTTATTAGCCTGAACAGAACAGAGGAGATGAGCTGCTGGGAACTCTTGTTTATCATTAAAAACACATTCAAAAACTTTGGCCAGCTCTAGCATTAGAACAAAACCTTACCTTTGGAAGTTTGATCGGTGGTTCTTTGGACTCTTCTTCCTCATCGCTATCAGACTCTCCACTTTGCACTGAACTCTTTGATGATATTATAAGGGAGGTTTCCTTTCTTTGCCACTCCAGAACACAGTGACGCACATTACAATAAACACTGAATGCTGAAGGGTTGCTGTGGAGTTTGAGGTCGGGTATGAAAAGAGAATTCTCCAAGTTGTCAGCCTAAAGAAGGGAATGAATTGATTATTGGGGGTTGTCTGCCTAAAGATGGGAATGAATGGATATAGAACACGTATTTAGACTATAACAAGAGTTAAGTAGTTTATTTGGGTACCAATAAAGTATCCAACAAGAACACAGGGCACATGCATTTAAAACCCAGGTAGAAATTCTTTAGGGAGTATTTTAAGTATCGATTGCTGCCACCATGTGTGGCCATAAGCAAATACAGAATATCTGTCAATTTATCAGGATGGATTAACAGATTAATTAAGATAGTTATATAATGTGTACAAAAATAATAAAAAAATTAAAAAATAGATTATAGTGCAAAGATTTTTCACTTTGAAGGTAATTGTTTTCCAAATCTGCATTTCTCATGGAATATAACAAAATAAGTTTTGGTATAACTGCTAAACTAATTTAAAAAGTTATTCTAAATATGAAGTCGGGTAAAAATATATTTAAATTATAAACAACTAGCAAGAATGAGTCTACGTTTAAACATTAGGATTTAATCCTCTGCCATTTAGGAGTTAAAGCCCTTTGTTTATGAACCCTAGTCACACCTCCCTGCATGTGACTTGCATAGCCTTCCATAAACACTTCCTGTAAAGAGAGCCCTATTTAGGCTCTCTTTATTGCAAGTTCTGTTTAAGATTTTCTTATCCCCTGCTATGTTAATAGCTTGCTAGACCCTGCAAGAGCCTCCTGTATGTGATTAAAGTTCAATTTGGAGATTGAGATACAATTATTTAAAGTAAATTACATCTGTTTGAAAGTGAAACCAGGTTTTTTTTCATGCAGGCTCTGTCAATCATAGCCAGGGGAGGTGTGGCTAGGGCTGTATAAACAGAAAAGGTGATTTAACTCCTAAATGACAGGGAATTGAGCAGTGAAATTGCAGGGGAATGATCTATACACTAAACTGCTTTATTTAGCTAAAGTAATTTAGGTGACTATAGGGTTCCTTTAAGTGGCAACATATCGGAAAGTGAAAACATACAAATAAGTGGTGCAACATTTATGTGAGTAGACAAGTGATGAGTGCACTGCTCAAACATGCTGACAATGTATAGGAAGTAGGGTTCAGTTAGATAAAAGAAAATATTGCCCGTATTGGTGGTGTACTGGATTAAAAGAATCTATTAGACTTACAAGAGGGGTAGTAAAATGTGAAAAAAAAGGGGTTATCTAAAACTAGAAGTTAAGGCATTCTAACTGAAAAGGCAGCATTTAAGTAGGGGTACAAAAAAAGTTTTTTGTTTTTTTTTAAATAGATCACCATAGCTGTCAAACATTTCAAGAAGAATTAGTATGAAGCAGTCAAATTTGGATTTAGTAGTAACGTGCCCATAACAGACAAGAAAATGTTAAAGGGCAATTGTCACCTCAAAAAAGATAGAGATTTAATAATCATTTCATCAAGTATAGAAAGAAAACATTTAAATGAAATGTAAAAAGAAAATAAAAAAAATGTGCAAAAAGAAGAAAAGAG